TTATGTTCTTATGAGCGTGAGGGCCACCATATTTGCCCTGGACCTATCACGGCTTTTAAAATCTGGCCAGGAAAATCTTGAACTCCTCCCTGATTGAGGGGCTTTCTATAGGCCTTTGAAGGAGGCAGTTGTTAGATCTCTGCTCAAAAAATATTCATTGGCTAGGGATGAGGTGACCAACTACACTGCTGGCTAGTCTCCAATGTACCTTTCCTGAGGAAGGTGATTGAGTGCATAGGGGCACTCCACAGTCCTCCTCCTCCTCTTCTTCTCCTTCTCCTCCTCCTCTTCCCCTCCTCCTCCTCCTCCCTATGTCCCTGTGCACCAACTGCGGTCATTGGGCAGCCATGGGTTGGCTGTCTCACCACTTAGGCTGGTCCATCTGGAACTGACCAGAGCCTGGGTCTACCTCATTGTGGCTCCAGTTCTGTGGAATGGGCTCCCTGAAGAGGTGAGATGCCCCTCCTTGGACATCTTCAGGCGGTGCTGCAAGACCTGCCAGTTTACCAGGGTTTTTGAGGGGGTCTGACCAGCAGGCATCCTTTAAGTGAGGAGAGATTTGGGGCTTCTTCTTTTATCTTTGGTTTTAGCTGAGGATGTTTTAATTATTATTGTAAGAAGAAGAAGAGACTGGATTTATACCCCGCCCTTCACTTGGAGTCTCAGAGCGGCTTACAAACTCCTTTCCCTTCCCCTCCCCACAACAGACACCCTGTGAGGTGGGTGGGGCTGAGAGAGTTCTGACACAAACTGCTCTTTCAGGCACAGCTGTGCCAGAGCTTGTGACTGACCCAAGGTCATCCAGCCAGGTGCAAGTGGAGGAGTGGGGAATCAAACCCCGTTCTCCCAGATTAGAGTCCGCACACTTAACCACTACACCAAACTGGCTTGGAAGGTAAATCACCTTCCAAGAGGAAAGGCTAGATAGAAACGTTTCAACAAATTAATAAAATAAATACAAATCTAGTTATGGACCCTTGGTGGTATGTGCTGCATCTCTTAGCTTGTCCCACTGAGCGCTGACTGTGGAAAGGGGAAGGCAAGGCCTAGGTGCTTATTTACTGCTACCACTGAGTATTTAGTACATCGCCCCCTGGTCTTATGGATGATGGGATGTCGTCTACAGCAGGCATCCCCACCCGTTTACATTTTCTACAACTTCACTATTCGCGTCTTGGCTTTTCTGGAAATCGGGGTCATCAGTGAGGTCATGCATGCTCAGAAATGAAAACTAAGTCACCGTTGGTAAGTTGTTTCCCCAGAAGACTGTGTGGGTTTGGGTGTTACTCCTCCGCTCAAGATCTCACAGCAGCTTCAGCACACAAGTTGGTTGAACTGTGGTTGAAATGGAAAGTTTGCATCTGCCCACAGAAGGGACTTGGTTGCGAACTCGTGATTGAGAACACAGGTATTCATGGAGGAATAATTTGCATGACCTGGCCAACGTAAAAACCTTTTACTTCCTGGAGTTTAAATCTGTTCACGGTTACGGATGCAACTGTGAAGTGGTCTCACTGTCAAAGTTAATTGTGTTTAGCTTGGGCAATTGGGAGTCAGACTCACAATGCAAATTCGAAGCGCAATTGAATTGGCCTATAAAACAACGATTGGGATGTTTCTTTCCATCCATCACATTTTATCCTACCCTTCCTCTGAGGAGCCTGAGGAAGCCAACATGGCTTCTTCTCCTCCATAAAGAGTGGGCAGAGAGAACTTTTTCTCCCTCTCCCAACATAGCAGAGCTCAAGGTATAGATAGGAACTCTTGGTCTGGGGCAAGGGACGCTCTGTATTCTTGGTGCGGGGGGGGGGACAGTGGGAGGGCTTCTAGTGTCCTGGCCCCACTGATGGACCTCCTGATGGCACCTGGTATTTTTGTCCACTGTGTGACGAAGGCTGTGTCCACACTGGCGGCTTGGCACACTGTGGTGCTGCCTCTAACTGAACTGGTTTAGAGTGTTGTGGGGCATATCAACCACACAGCCCACCCTGCTGTGGGTTACCCATGGAGACATCCTGTGGTAAAGCATCCACATTATTGCAGCACCTCAGCCACAGAGCATGCTGCCAAAAAATTTCCAAAATTCACACGTGCACATAGGAGCGCATGTGCGCGCATGTGCACATACAGGCAATTAAAAAAAAAAGATGCCTCCTTAGCAGCAGAATGGATCTGCAGGTTCAGACTGCTAAATCCGTTCTGTGCGCACTGCCCCGTGTTCAGACTTCTGGCCATGTGCGATGACTGCACGGGGGACCGGCTCCAAGTCATTTTGTGACAGGATAAGTATGGCTGGAGAATGCCTGACAGGTGTGGCTGTCTGACTGAGCCCATTTGATCCAGAGGGGGAGGAGTGCCTGTGTCAGGCCAAACTGCCTGTGTGATCACAGCCAAAGTGTTGGCCTGGATGGGCCATTGGCCTGATCCAGCATTGGCTTCTCTTATGTTCTTATGTTATGTTCTTAAGGTCACTCAATGAAGCTGATAGGCAGCAGATTCAGGATGGGCAAATGGAAATACTTATTTCCTCAGTGGGTGATTAAAATGTGGGATTCGCTGCCAGAGGAGGTAGTGATGACCACCAATGCTCCCTCTAAGCTGTGGAGTCTTGTGAGCCAAAATTCTACTTTGTGAGCTACTGGCATTAAAGCTGTGAGCGAGCGATTGGGCTACTGCATAAGTTAGTTTGCTCTGGAGCCATCCTTCCTGAGCGGAGAGAAAAACGTGTGAGCCGGAGGCTAAAAAACTGTGAGCTAGCTCACACTAACTCAGCTTAGGGGAAACTCTGATGACCACAGTCTGGCTTTAAAAAAGGGATTTTTTTTAACAGAGGACAGGTTATAGCCATGTGATGTGACTGAAGGGAGATTCCACATTCAGAGGCAGTAAACCTCTGAATACCAGTGCCATGTGACACTAACTCAGCTTAGGGGGAACGCTGATGACCACAGTCTTGGATGGCTTTAAAAAAGGGATTTTTTTTTTTTAAACGGAGGACAGGTTATAGCCATGTGATGTGACTGAAGGGAAATTCCACATTCAGAGGCAGTAAACCTCTGAATACCAGTGCCATGTGGAAATATAAGGGGAAGGCCTTGGCCTCTGTGCCTTGTTGCTGGTCCTCCAGAGGAACTCGTTGGCCACTGTGTGAGACAGGATGCTGGACTAGATGCACCACTGGTCTAATTCACTAGGGCTCTTTTCACATTACCCTCACAACAGTACTGAGAGATAGGTTAGGCTGAGAAAAAGGGACAGGCCCAAAGGCAGTCAATGAGCTTCATGGCAGATTGGGGTTTTGAGACCAGGTCTTCTAACACTCTAGCCACTTGCTTTCCACCTGGACACAACTGATACCTTTGGAATAAGTTCAAATATCTGTATCTTGGAAACTCTGAATAATTTTCGGTCCATTCCAGAGAGATCTTCGATCATCTTTTAATTCTGTTTCAAACCTCTTTTGATATATTAGAATCACAGAATTTGAAGGGGCCATACGGGCCACCTAGTCCGACCCCCCTGCTCAATGCAGGATCAGCCTAGAGCATCCCTGGCAAGTGTTTGTCCGGATGCTGCTAAAAGACTGCCAAGGACGGGGAACTCACCACCTCCCTAGGCAGCTGAGTCCACTGTGGCATAATTCGTACTGAGAAAAAGTTTTCCCTAATATCCAAATGGTACCTTCCCGCCCTCAATTTAAACCCATTATTGCAAGTTCTATCCTCTGCTGCCAACAGGAACAGCTCCTTGCCCTCCTCTAAGTGACAGCCTTTAAAATACTTTAAGAGAGCAATCCTGTCCCCCCTCAAACTCCCTCAACCTCCTCTTCTCCAAAGTGAACATTCCCAAGTCCCTCAGCCTTTCCTCGTAGGGCTTAGTCTCCTGCAAGTTAATTGTTCCTAGCTAATTGAGAGTACAGCACTGAAAGGAATATTTTAACCACAGGATTATTAATGGAGGCTCAGTATTAAAAACCTTTTAGGGCCATTTACTCATCTCCCTTCTTTGACTTTGACGTTAGCCAGACAGTGACAGAGAGGAATTTTTGCATTAACATAAATGAGAGTCAATTCTTGAGTCTGTAACTACAGAGCTCTGACTCTCAAAAGCTTATGCCCTGAAAATTCTGTTGGTCTCTTAAGGGGCTACTGGACTCGAATCGAACTAATTTTCATTGCACTCCAATGTTTAGCCTGTTTGGTTGGAAGCCCCAGTTAAGAGGCTAGAGGGTGGAACTGATGCAGTGTTCCAAGTCACTTCACCCTATACAAATGCACAGGTGCTGCGGATCTAGTGTGGAAGCCTACCAGATGCCCTCGATCAACCTGTGCTAGTGTCAGCAAGCTGCCATAGAATTCTGTGTATAGCTAACCCCCCCCCGATCCTTCCGTTGGCATCTGCGCATGCCTATTGTATTCTGCACTGTATGTATGCTTGTCTCATGCATTCCTTTCTATGAACGTTAGCGTAAGCTTATCTACAAGGCCACAGGTGCGGAGAAAAGGAGGCTCAGCTTAGTCTATAATGAATTAGAGCGTGTGAAGTGCTAATTGTTTATCTTTATGGAAACCGTTGCTTCTCAGACTCTGGGCGCGAATCTGAGAGTCCAACCGCGTAAGCGGGAGCCAAGTCCATTGGTTATTGTAAGTTTTGAATGTGCTTCATTATCCCATGTCCCACCTGTCCCAGGTATTCTAAACAGTGAACTTGCTCCTGTTCTATCATGGCTTCAATAAAATACTACTTTGCTTAAACGTGTATTGGACTGATAGCTGTGGGGATCGGACAGCTAGTTTGGTGCGTTGATGCAGGGGCAAACCTGCAGAAATTGCGTAGCAGAAACAAGGTCCCCTCCATCAGACATGCGTCAACAGAGAAAGTCCCCTCCCACCTTCTCCCTCTCAGAGTGACGGCACCATAACCGAGAACATCAGCACAGATTTCTTCTGTTGGATCTCAGCCACCGAATTCCGCCCCAAACCCACAAGTGCTCCTCTTACCTGGGTTTTCTGTCTTAATTTATGCAGAAAGTGTTTCTGGTAGTTCAGCATCAAATCTTTGACAGTCTCTTCAAGTTCTTGGCAGCTGATGCTAAAATTTCTTTCTGAAACAAACGGGGGGGGGGAATACCTGATCCCGATAAAACTGAATTTAAAAAGCGGGGACTGAGAGGGCGGCTTGAAGGAAGTGAAAATTCGATGCAGTGTGGAGCAGACTAGCAAGAAAGCGATAAAATACCAGCTTCTCAGAGACTTTTGAAAACTTTCTTCTTAATGTAAACAATGACGCGGCGAGCAGAAAAAAATGGCAGCCAAAGGGAAACTAACAACAGGAACTGCCAGCTCATCACCGCCGGCCCTTAAACCGGAAGTCACCATAGACTTTCCTAAAATGATTGCGGCCGCTTTGCGCCCTCTGCTGGACCAGATGATCAACCTTAAGGACAAGTTTGACACGTTGCAAAAAGAACGCAAAGGAAACACAGCAGCAACAGAGAAGATGGTGAAGAAGCTGATTGACCCTGTGCTTAAAGCGGAAAAGATCTTAAAATAACAACAGAAAGCATCTGAGAAAGTGGAAGGCAACAAAGATGCAGAGGACAAAGAAGATAAAGACATCATCTCGATGTCTGACATCATCTCGAAGAGCTTCGCAGGATCGTCGGCCTCTGAAGCAGAATTAGGGGCTGCTGTTCCTAAGCCTATAACAACTAAACGGCTTTCTGATAAAATGAAACTTAGAAGAAAGAAATAAGCAAATCAGATTAATTTTGATAGCTGGTTGTTTAATGTTAACATATAATTTTAAAAGCTAGAATGTACACACTGCAGAAGACTATGATGGAGATTGCTTGGTTTACAACTCTATATCTTTAAGATACTCCTTTCGCTATATGATACTAGGGAGGTATCAATCATTTTAAACTTATGTAGAAATGATCCTTGCGACTCCTTATTTTAGGTTGTATCCATCTCCCCAACCCTGTAGATCTGTAGCTTAGAAAGGCAAAATTAAAAATTAAAAAAAGAGAGAATCGTCTGGGTTTTATCCTACTACTCTGTCTGGTTCATAGTGATACATTCCTCTGGAGCAAGGAAAATTTGGCCAAATGTGGGGGGGGGGGCAGGCGTGTTGGAGGAAGGTCCAATAAGAGGTAAGCTGAGCAGTAGGATACAACCCTATATTATACAACATTCCCATTTCCCAAGCTTTTATCTGTCATAAAGTGTTGTTGTTTAATACCAAGGGTTTCACTTGGTCTAGGAAGCCAATTGAACAATTTTATTTACTTAGGTATTTATACCCTGCTTATCTTCCCAATGGGACCCAAAGCAGCTTACAACACTATCCTCCCCTCTACTTTATACTCACGAGCTGGAACTAGAGACAGGAGCTCACCCTGTCTTGTGGCACCCGGGTCTTGAACCGCTGAACTACTGACCTTCCACAGCCTGCAGTTCAGCGTCTTAACCACTTGAGCCACCGCAGCTCAGGTGTGTTGGAGAAAGGTCCAATAAGAGGTAAGCTGAGCAGTAGGATACAACCCTATATTATACAACATTCCCATTTCCCAAGCTTTTATCTGTCATAAAGTGTTGTTGTTTAATACCAAGGGTTTCACTTGGTCTAGGAAGCCAATTGAACAATTTTATTTACTTTGGTATTTATACCCTGCTTATCTTCCCAATGGGACCCAAAACAGCTTACAACACTATCCTCCCCTCCACTTTATACTCACGACGACCACCCTGGTGAGGTGGGTTGGGCTGAGAGTGATTGGCCCAAGTTCACCCAATAAGCTTCCAAGCCAGAGTGGAAGTCTGAAATTGGGTTTCCCAGATCTCAATTCAATACTCTAACCACTCCACCAAGCTGCCAGGCTAATTCTTAAAATTTACTCTATTTCCCGATCTATAACAAAAACTTACATTATTTAAAAAAAGAACAAATTTAGGTTTTCTTATGGGTCAGTTGTCCGCGACTTATTTTTTCCACTGGTTATTGTATTTCTCCCCCGATCTGATGCTCCACTGTTCTAGCAAGACCTTCTAGATATGTGACAGTCCCCAAAACATCTGAATTGTTCCTGCCAGCTGTGTCAAGTTAGCAGACTACATTGAGCAGTTGTTAGAAATAGAAGCGAGAGTGCAATTAAAACTTTAAATTAAATTGTATTATCTTGGATGCTGGGAGCCTGCCAGACTGATTACTGCACGTCAGTAACAATTAGCACAAAGTACAGGACACACATATGTCTCTAACCTTTCAGCGAGGGATGAGGAGATACATTAAAAGAAGACTAATGAAAGACTTTTCTACTTCATTAATCACCTGGCTTGCAATTCATCAACCAACTAATTTATTATGAACAAATCTACATATTCCCCAAACTTCAGTTTAGGATGGACTTACAATTATTATGAACAAATCTACATATTCCCCAAACTTCAGTTTAGGACGGACTTACAATTTTATAATCAAGAGGTAACACATTGGAAGGGGAGAAATCACTTAATTTGCCCCCCCCCCCATTTTACTCTTGATTCAGGTGAGAGGCAGAACAAGCGGGTTGGAGAGACACAGAGAGGCTTCCAGTTCTTGTCTCTTCCCCTTTCCCCCTGTGTAATGTGTAGTTTGGCACAACATTGAACTAAGAGTTGCTACTGTGCTGGGTCCTGCTCCTTCCTTGTCACCAACAGCCAATGGCGTGAGTTGGGGAAATTAAAACAGCCAAGGACTAAGCTAAGTCATGGGGGCCCTGTCTCCCTAATAACCCCACTCATATCTTGGAACTGGCTGCTGGTACCATAGGATGAGGTGATGGGCTGGGCCCAAGCCACCAGTGGCCAGGTCTGTATTGACATATATGTCTAGGATGAAGTGAGGTAGAAAGCTGTTACTGTGTATAGATCAGTATGATCTAGTCTGTAAGTCTTAGCTGTCATGCTAAGTGGCTCATACTCTTACAGCCAGGTGTTTATCTACCAGGTGTTACTCTTTGTCCTAGTTAAGAGTAGGTAATTAGTCTGCCCTGTTAGTGATTGGCTGGGACTTGTATATAATGTATAGGCTTGATAAGTGGTGGTGGTGGTAATAATAATGTTAACAAGTGGAGACCCGCAACAAAATGTTGTGTACTGTTGGGTCTCCACTTTTTCTCTTCCCCCCTCCCCTCCCCTCCGTAGGCCTCCCTCGTCTCTCTCCCCCTCCCCTCCTAAGTGAGCCGCCGGGTAGGTAGAAAGCTGTTACTGTGTATAGATCAGTATGATCTAGTCTGTAAGTCTTAGCTGTCATGCTAAGTGGCTCATACTCTTACAGCCAGGTGTTTAACTACCAGGTGCTACTCTTTGTCCTCATTAAGAGTAGGTAATTAGTCTGCCCTGTTAGTGATTGGCTGGGGGTTGTATATAAGGTGTAGGCTTGATAAGTTAGTGGGGGACATAGCTCTCTCCAACTGAGGTATGTTACGCTGTGCAACAGTCTGTATATTCTCTGTGTAAATATTCACCATTATCGCACTATAAACTTTCTGCCTTTCACTGCCAGTTGGTCTCCAGGCTTCTTATTTACTGCACCCAATAGTCTGAACAAAGTACAGAGCGCCACAGGGGCTACTCAGTTTAGACTAGGGCACCAGTGGTGGAACAGGAGGAGGCAATAGGTGGTTCTGCATCTAGCATTCACTCCACATTTTCTCAACTGGGTGGGAAAAGTCCAGCTCAAAACCACATTCAAACATCTCAGGGTACTTCACTGAGAAATGGGTTCTGTTCATCACACATGCTCTTGATCAAGACATTGATCCTCCAAATCAAACATACCGCCAACCACTTCTCTTCTAATAGCCACTGATGGACCTCTGCTCCATATGCTTATCTAATTCCCTTTTGAAGCTGTCCATGCTTGTAGCCGCCACCACTTCCTGTGGCAGTGAATTCCATGTGTTAATCACTCTTTGGGTGAAGAAGTACTTCCTTTTATCCGTTCTAACCCGACCGCTCTGCAGTTTCATGGAGTGCCCACGAGTTCTTGTATTGTGAGAAAGGGAGAAAAGTACCTCTTTCTCTACCTGCTCTTTCCCATGCATAATCTTATAAACCTCGATCATGTCACCCCTCAGTCGTCTTTTCTCCAAGCTAAAGAGCCCTAAGCGCCTTAACCTTTCCTCATAGGGAAAGTGTTCCAACCCTTTTATCATTCGAGTTGCCATAAACCTGTGCAGAAGGTACCATAAAACCCGATGATCAAAGGAAATGAAAACAGCATGCAGTGTAGAGGGTACCAAAAAAAGGAACTGAAAGAAGCATGCAACACAGAGTGGAATTTCTGTTCCAACATGGGTTTCATAAAACAACGGAGGGAAAAGCCAAGGCAGAATCAGCCAGTGAGAAATCCAAAACTTTTCAGCGCCACTAGCTGTATTTGAGGAGTGCAGCATTTGCCAGCACAGCTGGGGAGCTCAGATCAGCTTCTTCCTATACCCACCACCAGTAAGTTAAAGGGTCAAATCCACTCCTGACATTGAGATCAATTGCATGTTACAAGGAACAGGGAGGGGGAAGAAAAAAATGTAGTTCCTTGTCTCTTGTAATGTCTAGTGGGACCCGAACAGAGCAGAACCAAGGTAGTCCCCAAGTGTGATGAAGCGTGCCCTTAACTCTCAACCCTACAGTTTAAAATCTTTCCACATTCATTAATCATACAAGCTTCGACAGATTAGTTGACCAATTAAAGGTTATTTTTAAACAGCCACAGAGACAACGGGTTGAAGACATAGCTTCAGGCTTACAGCCGATAGCTTTTTTTTAAAAAAAGGATTCGTAACTGGAGATTGATGTAGGATGCTACCAGACTCCGGGTTTGGCTAGTGAGTGGTGTTTACATGACACCCCAAAGTCCTAACTAGAGTTGCCAGTCATGGCCTGGCAACTGGTGGAAGACTGAGGGGGGAGGCATAGGGAGCCTTTCTAATAACAGAGAGTGATTAAAAAGTGGAATTTGCTGCCACAAGAGGAGGAGGAGGAGGAAGAGGAAGAAGAAGAAGCTGCAGCAGCAGCAGTGGAGGAGAAGTTGGCTTTTATACCCCACTTTTCTCTACCTTAAGGAATCTCAGAGTGGCTTACAATCACCTTTCCTTCCCCTCCTGGGACAAGTGTGGGGCAAAACTGGGGTGACCTCAATGTAATGTGGAAACAAAAAATACCCCAAGATAATTACAGGGGTGAACTCACATGTAGTGTAGAATGTAAGTTTGGGGACAGGGTTGAACCAGGATCTAAGGTCTAGTGCGGAAAGGACCACAGAAGTTCTTGGTAGATATTGCAAAGCCCAAGTTTCTTAGCCCCAGTCAAGAAAAAAGATAGACGCTCAGGGCGATTTCTCACTAGAGCTGCCTCGCAGCACAGCACCGTTTGCCCTGACACAAACATGTCAAT